TGAAGAAAGAAAAATAAATGCTTAAAAGAGTTTGCGTTATAAAAATACATTTCGTAAAATGTGTAGTATGTCAGTTGGAAAATATTTTTCTCTTAAAGCTTGGAAGAGATGCAGATTTCGCCGCATGCAGGAGCGATGATGTGATAAATATGCATTTTTGCTTTCTAAAATAAATGACCATAATTTTGTTTCAATTATGATAAACAAACAACGATCAATGAAGGAAAAACTCTGAAATCATTTACATAATTTTAAAATGTAATGGGAACTGCAAAAATAGTGTAATACGTTGAAATATGAAGTTTTTTAGTACGCAACAATAGGTTGCTAAATGTTTTTGTAACAATTTTACAATAACTGGTATTGCTCTCCCTAATTGCCTATTTTTATTTTATAACCATCGTTGAACAGCCAACCCAATTTTTTGGGTTTACGACTGCTAATGTTCAACTCCGTAGCCTTGTAATTTTGGACCTAATCCAGAAGACAAGGTAACTCCTGGATCAAGTATTGGGAGAAATTTGCCTTCGTGGAGGACTTTTTGATGGAACTAACCTGCATTTGCGTTACACAGAGAGAGAAAACTACGAAAACCTCCCATGGTTAGCCTGACGGCAAGAGGACTCTAACCCATGATCCGTCTACCACTGAGGATATTTTACGTCAGCACTGCAGTCGGTACGAGTCGGGTGTGGAATTCGCATCGACCAGCCATAGCTGGGATTCAGACCCGGTTCACCTCATTCGAAGGTGAACGCTCTATCCCCTGACCCACCATGACTCCTTGTCTTTTTGGGTGGGTTCAAAATTACAAGGCTTTGGAAGGAAACGTTGATAGTCGTAAACTCAGAATCTGTTTGGCGGTTCCACGTCGGTTATAAAAGATAACATGAAAAAATCGATAGCTCTTTTCCAGGTAAAAAATATACCAGAATACAAATAATAAAAATAAAAATCATAATTTTTAAGAAAAGAAGATGTCTGCTATAAGAAAGCAGATGGTTTTTTTTTTTTTTTTTTTTTTTTTTTTTTTTTTTTTTTTTTTTTTTTTTTGAATTTTATTTTCCTCTTTAAAATTTACATAATATAGGCAGTTCAAATTGTAATAACAGTAATTTTTTTATTAGTTTATCTTCCTAGAATTTGAATTTAAAAAATAAAAATATATTACTTTAATAACAGCAAAACAATAATTCCTTAATGCTGAAGGCTTTATAGATTACGCAAGAAACGTCACAAAGGAATTAAAAGTTATAATTTCGGAGCAAAATCTAAAATCGATGCATTCTAAGAAGTAACCATTATCGGAGAAGTGGAGAGACTAAAATATTCTATATGCCCTACAAATAGGCGGTTCTAAACTTCTGAAACCGCTCATCATCAAAGATGATTATCCCCACAAAATTGTCTTGGAAACTATTAAGCCCAATGTGTGGTCCTACATCCTAGAAACAAAAGAATTTCTATGCAGAGCGCACGGGATGTTTATTAAAACAAGTTTGAGTTAAGAATCCAGAACCGTATGAAGTTTGGATTGATAGTATACAGAGAGTTCTTCTCTTCAAATGAATTCCATAACAATCAATGAGAAATATGAAAATTTATACGATTAGGAATAAGAAATTGTATAAAAAATAGCTTTACAATAAACAATATTAATGTTTTTTGTCAATAATAATGTAAATGATAGCAAATATTTTGGACTATTTTTTTTAAAGAATTTAAGGTAACGATATAATGGTTAAACATTGAATCAACTTTTTAAGAGTGACGTAAATGTTTTGAACTATCAATTAAGAATATAATGAATGTACAGATATAATGTTTCAACGTTGAATAGATTTTTCTAAGACCGAAACATATGTTTTGAGCTATCATTTAAAAATATGGTTTAAGATACTGATATAATTGTTCAACGTTGAACTGATTATTGTATAAAACAAAAGCAAATGTTTTGAGCTATCATTTAATAATATGGTTTAAGGTACGAATATAATGATTAAATGTTGAATAGATTTTTTAAAGACAAAAGCAAATGTTTTGAGCTATCATTTAAGAATATGGTTTAAGATACCGATACTATTTAGTAACTATATTGTTTTAACTAACAGGGACCCTAGCCGATCACTATAATTTTTTAGATTGCTAATATCGAAATGTACACGAAGAAAAATTGTAAGAGCTATTTCAAGAATTACAAAAAATTAATAGCTCGAATTGCTGCAATTTTTTACAATACATTGCTAAAATCAAAATGCTCATAAAACGGTAATTTTAGAATAACAGGGTGCGTAGTGAGATTTTTCAACAAAAAAATAAGCACCTTTTGAGTACTTTTTAAGCACTCAAAAATTTTTTTTAATCACTTTCCAAAAAAAAAAAATTATAATAAGGATCTGAGCAGTAATAAAAATTTTCTTTCTATATCGTTTAAAGTTCTTAATTTATAAACATAAATTCAATAAAATTCAAAACATTTTCAAAATCATGATAAAATAACTAGTTTCTGATAAATATTGTAGGGAAAATTGTGAAAATCAAGCATTTTTTTGTAATTTAGAACGACAATCGACACGGCAAAGAAATAATCTCTTTTTTAAAAGATAGAAAATTAAGCACTTTTTACAAACACCAAATAAAAAAAGCACCTTTAAGGGCATTTAAAATGCGTGTAAAAAATAAACACTTTTTAAAAACGCTACGCAACCTGAAAAATATTTAAAAATTACTAAATAACTAGCTGATTACAGCTTAGATAATTATTATAGTAAACAATTCTGGAAAAAAGAAAGAAAAAAACTTAATGGTCCCAATCACGATACCCTCTTTTCGTAGTAATCTTCGGTTCAATACAGAAACAAAAAGGATATATTATTTTCAGGTCATGTTCTGTTAAGAAAAGCTTATCAGGAAGAGGCCGGTAGCTAAAAAAGAGTTCCCTTGCCATCCATCAAATGTATAGGGACGAGATAAGGGTTCCATAAGCTTTGGGATAGAATAAAAAAAGCAAGTTACGATTTAAGAATCCTTTAGATCCCGGTTAAGAGTAAAACAGGAGAATTTAGTCGATGTTTTTTCCTATGAAAAAAGTATTAACTCGTACTGCGGTTCATAATTTTAAGAAGAATTTATAGCTTGTGGTATTTTATTTTAGCTTTATCTCAAGTTACTGCAGATGCAAGAAAGCGCTGTAAATTAAGGGATGTATCGAAACTAAAGCACATAAAATAAAAAGACGATTTTTTTTTAATTGATAGAATTAAACTGGAGTACATAATAGTATAAGGATATTTGTTATGTTTAATAATTTAACAAGACTGATACAGGGTGCGGCGTAGCCAGATTTTTCAGTAAAAAATAAGCACTCAAAAAATATTTTTAATCACTTTCCAAAAAAATAAATAAATAATAACAATTATAATTAGGATCTGTGCAGTAATAAAAAATATTTTTTTCCATCGTTCAAAGTTCTTAATTAATAAACATAAAATCAATAAAATTCAAAAAAATTTACATAATCAAGATAAAATAGCTAGTTTCTGATAAATATTGCAGAGAAAATTGTGAAAATAATGCATTTTTTTGTAATTTAGAACCACAATCGACACGGCAGAGAAAAAATATCTTTTTAAAAGATAGAAAACTAAGCACATTTCACAAACCCCGAATAAAAAAAAGCATCTTTAAGGGCTTTTAAAAAACGTAAATCAAAAATAAGCACTTTCTAAAAACGCTAAGCACCCAGTGATAATATGAATTTATTTAATAATTCAACAAGACTGAAAAATATAACAGCATAAATATTTTTTTCTTCATAATTTAAATCTATCATTTATTCGCATAGTTTAAAAAGCATTTATAGTTATTGGTATTTTATTTTAGCTTTATCTCAAGCTATATAAGAAAGTAAAATATATTAAGCTTGGGAGCTCCATCTCACTGCTCTTTGCTCTTTACAATCCTGAAACAGCTTTTGTAGTTCTTTTCGGATTGCTTTGCAATTCGAGCTCGCTGCGCTCATTCATTGTTACTTACGTAATTTAATTTAGCTGTGCATAATTCAAACAATTTATAAATCAACATTTATAAATGTAATTACGAATTTCAGTGTTTGAAGTTCTTTATTCTAACTTAAATTAATAAATTTTATAAAAATCACGTGGATCTAAGGTTCTAACAAAGTTAAATAATATAAATATTTGAAATGTTAAATTGCACCTTAAGTAGTAACAAACATGCATATTGTCTATTATTATTGTCCATTTGAATACAATGATGATGATTGGAATTATACCCAAATAACTTATATGTTCCACGTCTATTGGAATCCCCAGAAAGCTTAAACGTCCACTAAATGCCTAAGTAAGGGTAAAACAATAACATTCTTATAACGTGTTTATAGAAGGGAAGGTCCACATATGTGGACCGAGGTAATGAAGAGGTTAAGCGTTCCTTCTTACAAAAAGTTAACTAGGTTTGATATTTCAGCTAGTTCGTTGTAACTAACAAGAAAAAGAAATTTAAGCGGTTCGGTGACATACACATTGGTGTTTAGTGCAATATAGATGATGAAAGTAGACAACCATACTTGCGGATGTTGCATCAAAGTCCTCCACGAAGGCAAACTGTGTCCCAATACTTGATCCAGGAGTTCTCGTCTTCTGGATTAGATTTAGAATTATAAGGCTACAGAGTTGAACATTGGTAGACATAAACTCAAAAATTGGGTCGGCTGTTCAACGACGTTTAAAAAATAACGATTGGTCAAACTTTATTATTATTTATTACTGAGCACTTGAAGTTGGACCATTTAGCATAGTATGAAAAACTACTTTATTTTTATGCGATTTATGCCGAGAATTTTCAAAAAAAATTTTTCAAGAAGAAACGCTTAGTAAATGGACAAAATAAATTTTACTAATATGCTGTTTGCTAAGATTAAATTGTGATAACTTATAAAAATAATAATAAATAAAACTATTATATTCAATTTTACTTACCGTCACTTGCTGTCCTTCTTTCAGAGGCAAACAATTAGGATCACCTGGTTCATCATAATCACGAATGGCTCTCGCCTGCACAGCATTAATGATTTCTGTAAGAAAAAAACATTTAAATTACATTTTTAAATAAATGGAAACATTAAAAAAATATGCGTCGGAGAATAATTATATGAAAGAAATATCTCTACAGTAAGACCTGCATAAAAAAGTAAAAGAAAAAAATATCTTACATATTCGGAAACTGCCATGCAATTAATTAGGTGATTAAATACAAAGAATTAAATTCCCAAATAGTTATTAAAGAATATTATATTTTCTCTAATCGTATATAAATTGGTCATGTGCCTGATATCCCAAAAATCACTAGTGCTTTGAAAATCAATACGGAAGGAGATAGAAACGAATCGTTCAATACAGTTTGCTTCGGAAACCAGATAACTTATTTTGACTAAGTTTTAAAATTAGTTGCAGTGTTTGAGAATAGATGGTACTGCTAACCGAGAAAAATAGTAAAGAATGTTTACAAAATAATCATCATTTACATTAATTGCCACCAGACTACAAAATAAAAGGAAGCTGTGGAAATATTTCGGTTGGAATGATCCAACAAATATCAGAAATTGTTTTACAATTTTTCCAGACAGTATCGCTATCTGTTGACGAACTTAATAACCAATTTTGAAATTTGGTGAAGAACTTCGGCTTCCTTAGCAGAACGCAGCACAAAATGTATTTAAATTTTCTTGCGTTTTCCTTTAATTTCTTTTTCAAATAATCAGTCATTTTGGTAGTATTCGATAACTGATCATAGAGCTTAAATATTTAAATGTAGTTTTCATTGCAAGTGGAATTTTTTATTGCGTTTATGGTGCTTGATTCATTAAATGATAAGGATATTTTATTAAAACCGGAGTTTATCCCACAAATGTATAAGAAAAAATTAAAAACACACTACAAATTATATAAAAAGAAAATCGATTTTTACTATCAGTGTTTTTCGAAGATTTAAGTAAAATAATAAAAAAAGGTTATATCTTAAGTGCCTTACTTATGACACATAACTAGAATTTTAAACTATATGTACCATCTTGTCGTAAGGAATTATCTAGGCCTAAAAGCGAACAAATAGCTAAAATATTTTAAAAATTATTAAACTTTTTTTAAAAATCGCCAATTTGGCGAGATTTTTCTCCTACACGAAAATTATCAAAACCAATGAATAATTCGCAATTTTTGAAATTTTTTATAAGCCCGGATAACGGATAACGCAGCGTTGGAGTAACTTTTAAAATATTAAAAGAAAAGAAGGAAAAAAGGATCACTAACACTTTCAATTTTCACAATATTGTGGTTTTTACGCCATTTTCAAAATTAGCATAGAGGGCGATGATAAAGATAGTCTAAACTTGACCTAACAGTCGTGAATAACTGTTGCTAACTTACCATCACTTCAATTTCATTAATGAATACAGATTCTCAATGATATCTGATACATTCCTTAAAAACAGCATCATCGCTGATTACATAACTGTCAGATAGGCATCACTCGAGAATCCTAAGCAGCGTAAAAAGACACTCTAATCTCCCTAATTGAAAACGGCCATTGTTCTGAGTAAAATCAGCAATAAAAAGGCATCGAGAACTTTCGACTTATTTCGTTCTTTTCAGAAATAGAATACTCCCCTGACACCGAAGTATCAAGTCAGCCGGATCGATAGGAAGTTTCTTTAATTCTTAAAGTAAGGCGCATTTTTTTTAAAACTCTTGTTCCAATCTCACGAAATAAAAATGAAGCTTCTAGAATTTCAAAGGGTTTACGAAAGAAAATGGAATGCTTATACCGGAAGAAGGTTACGTGGAAAATTGGAAATTTTAAATGAATAGCACGTATTGTTGTACCCACGCTTATTTGAAAACGATATTGAGATGAAGATTAAAATAAAAAAAAGCAAATTATTCTGTAAAATTCGTGCATACGGATATGTGTATAAACGTAAGGCAACATTCTCGAATAAATGAAAAATTTTAAAAAAACTTTGAACATTTTTGCTTTGTTTTTCATCCCAAAAATTATTGCTTTGTTCTTATATATTTAATCTCTTAAGTTCAGATTTAGTCGTTACACTTTTATAATAGTTACAGTCAGGGCCTAATTATCGCTTAGGCCCAATAGGCATGGGCCTAATTCTGAGGGGCCTCAAACATTATTTTTTTTTGGTCGTATGCCTGTTTAGGCAGTGGCGCCATCTATGGCCAGGAATTCGACTTCTGCCACGCCATTCACACAACCACAAGCCGCTTATAGGGCGGGTCACATTCACACACAAAGGAGAAAGGACACAGAACACACAGAGAGAGAAAGAAACATCCATGTCTTGCCCGGGATTCGAACCCAGGACCTTTCTGATGCAAGGACAGTTCCCTGCCCCCTACACAAGCCGATCGGCCTCAAACATTATAAAAATCTCCAATGAAAGGTGGACTAGCTTTGTGTTGGTTTAAGAACTAAATAAAAAAAAATTACACTTTACAATAAAAAATAATTCAGCTAATCAGTGACTTTTAGCAAAAATCACTGATTTCAATTGTTTGTGGTCACCAAACTATCTTCATTTTGATATAACATTGTTTCGTTGTTTTATATTTTGCTTTAATTTATAGATACAAAAAAGAACGTTTCTCTTAAATCATGCAGTTCAATAGATTCTTTTTCATTATTAGGACTACTCTTCAGTAATTTAATTTCAAAATATTTTGTAAGGGGCCTAGAAAATTTGGTTGATTGATTGATTGAATGCAGGGTTTAGTGGCACAAGGTTCAAATGAGGACATGCTGCGCCAAACAGTATGGTGAAGCGGAAAATTTGGAGGGCCTTGGGCCTGAATTTTTCTTGATCGGTCTCTGGCTATAGTATCATAATTATTTTGCACAAAACAGCGAAAATATAATTTAATTTCTCATAAATAACTAATAGTACAATTACTTTACAAACAGGGTGTCCCAAGACTATTGGGACAAACTTTAAGGGGAGGTACGGGACATCACAAGAATTCAGAGTTGCATAAGCAACCCCATGGTCGGAAACGTGATTGGAAAGTAGTATGTCAAATACAAGAAACAAAAAGACACAAGACTGGGACCATCTGAGATATTTATGGGTCAAAGATATTACACGTGCTTTACTAGACAGATGTTCAAAACAGAACTAGACAGATGATGTTACTTTAAGATGTTCAAAGTTTGAACCACTGCAAGCGATGCATGCGTTACATCATCGGGTCATGGATTGGCGAACTAGCTCAAATACACATGGATTTTGTTGGATATACACAGCAGCACAGACGACTCTTGCAATCAAATCCATTTCGGAATCCACAAACGTTGCGTACTCAGCACTTTTCAGTGCACCCCAAAGAAATAAATTCATGCTGCTTAAAGCAGGAAAACTTAAATCAGGAGAACAGAGAACCAAGGAACCACGTTTCAAAATTTCTTCCGGTCCACCTCGTTCCAAAATTCGGCCCAATCCATCTTGTGAACATCACCACCTACCGACGAACAAAGACGTTTTCGACCAGGGGTTGCTATGCAAATCTGAATCTTTGTGATGTCCCCTACCTTCCCTGAAATTTTGTCCCAATAATCCAGGGACACCACGCATAATTATACTTTACAACTCAAAGTTTTTCTCATATGCTCTATCAAAGCTTGGTTTAATTTATTTAAGAAAATAATAAAAGTTTAAAATTAAAAATAAGAAAACAATTCTCTATTATCATGAAATTTATGATTAATATAGACAACTAGATATAATAAACGTTATCAAATCAAACCAAATAAGGTATCTTAGTAACTGTTTTTGATCAGAAGATTATAATTCCACTAATGTTCTTTCACCAGGCAGCACTAGAAAGCGGAGAAATGGACTAGGAAACGGCAGTTGCCAGGGGTCTGTTTAGAAGAAATTTGGGTCCGTTACTAATTTTCCTGTTTACTTTCCTAAGAAATAATAGTGTAAGCAGGGGTCTGTTTAGAAGAAATTTGGGTCCGTTAACAGACCCTTCACAAAATATCTTTTCTTAAAAACGGACCCTTCACAAAATGATTTTTCTTTTAACCGGACCCTTCACAAATTTGTTAATTTTCATTATTGTTTTGTTAATCGAATAAAAACTTCCCAGGGGCGAAAACAAGAAAGACAGATGTAAACGAATTAAGTTTTGTCTTCGGCAGATGCTTCTTCCTTTATTCGTCTGAAATGAATATTCTGCGTTCAGCAGTATAGACTAAATACCAAATATTTGTATGCTGCATGTCTAATTTTAAAGCAGCAATTGATGTTTATTTTTGAAAATTAAATTTTTTTAATTATAATTTTACAGTGCCGAGCATAATCTTGTATCTATTTACAATTTAAAAACTCCTTGAAAAAGTTTTTTGCAATTACCGGACCCTATTTGCACAAATTCATAAAAGCAGGATCCTGGTTGAAAGAATATGACTTATTTTATACGCTTATTTTATATTCACAAATTACGAATAATTTTTTCATAATTTTACAAAAACCGGGCCTTTCACAAAATGTCTGGACAGACCCCTGGTTGCTATTTGGTGGTTTGAATATATCTATTTTAATTACGCGGACCAAAATCAAAAGCCTTATCTCATCTCAAGTTTTATTCTCCTTAAAATTTTATTTAATTACAAAAATATTTTCACAAAATTAGTTCTAAAACTTTCTTAATATAAAAAGTTTAACAAATCACCTTTGATTTAAAATGAGGAGGAAAAAAAGAAGAAGAAAAAAAAACATTTGAGAGCATGCATACTAAGACGTACATGAAATGGAAATAAGTTATTATAATACAAGTTATTATAAGTTATAATAATGGAAATAAGTTATTATATACAATAAATTATTATTTAATAAGAACAGTTTGCCAGCTGTTGTTATTAAACAATAATTTATTATTTAATAACTAAAAAAACTACTTTTAGAACAGAAAATTAAAAAACAACTTTTAGAACATATTTACATAAGGAAAAATGAAAATTTCTATACTTTAAAAGTAGGAGGGAAGCATTATTTTG